ATTTATAACTTAACAATTACAAAATTTTAATCCTTATTATGTTTCAATAATTATTTCAATCATTTTTCAATCATCCCCTAATAATTATTTTTTTTACAGCAATTTATTATTGTTGTTCTTTGATTGTAATAATAAGTGTTACTACGATTTATTGTATTTTTTTACAATAATTATTGTAATTAAAAATGTGATAATGATTCAAATGATAATACGATTATAATCTTCCTTTTATTCAAAATGATAGCTATTATATTTATCATAATGACGATAATGACAATGATGATAGCTGTAATTGTCATTTTTTCTATCATTCTCTCATTAACAGACTAATTAATCAAGTGCACTTCAATAAGTAATATAAGCCAAATTATGTAGAAATTTGAATATTTCGAGTTATTTTCGATGTCTAAATAGGAACTGTATGCAAACAAAGTTTTTGACATTTTTGTTATCAATGTGTTATCTTATCAGCAATTATTGCAAAGGTGAAAATAATAAATAAGATAAAATTTGAAAATTACACATAACATTACTGATATGATATATTTTATCAACAGCATTATTCATAATTTAATCAGTAATTATGCACACATGAATAAAATGATATGTAAGCTAAAGGAGATGAATAATTTGATATGATAATCTAATTAAACTAATGAAATAATAAATAAATGTTGATAATAAATATCAAATTATCTTATTCAGATTTAAAATGATAACCAAACAATATATGATATATTGCAGCGTTAACTTTTTAGTTTTCTGCCAATAACAATATTTTACAATTACGCAAAAGAATTAAAAAAAAGCAAAAATCAAAATTTTTTGATGATTTTTTTTTTTGTTTTAAAGAAAAAAGTAAAATAGGAAAAGACAAAAAGAGAAAAGATTTAATAGCTAATTTTAATATTTCAAGAAAAAAAAGAAGAGAAAGAAAAATTTCAAAAACGAAATTTTACTCTGTTATGAAAAGAATGAAATTATTAAAAAGTAAGAAATTAAAAATGTAATTTTAAATGAAGAAAGAAGGAAACTGTAATGAAAAAAAGAATGAGTAATTAATGATGTTATAATTAAGTAATTATAATATATATATACCGTAAGAAGTGCTAATTTCATTTTTTAATTAAATGAAACATTCAGTAATGCTATCAATTTTGAGTAGTTGTAATTTTCCTCTTTCCCTTCTTTTCTATATTTAATTAAAGGAGTATGGTTGGATGGCAGATAATGGGCCAAGGATTTATAGCCAATTTAAGAGAGTTGAAAATAAAATATTGAAAGGGGAGCTATTTGTTTCGACCAAAAGATAAGGAAAAAAAAAAGAAGAAATGAAATGACAATTTCGATTTTGTAAATGAAACTTATATCTTTAATAATTACATTTAAAAAAGACTGAAATTAATTTTAAAAAAAAATTGATTGAACGAATGAATGAATGATGAACTGATAAATAATAAATTTGAATTTTTTATGACTATCATGTCCTATCAAAATATTTTTTGCTAATAGATGAGAAAAAATAATAATCAAACCGGAACTGGTATTAAACTGGAACTGATATGATATGATATGATAGTCTCAATTCCATAACATAAAACGGTAAATACGATAATAATTAAAAGTTGCTTATTGAAAATAACGAAAATAATCAAGCCATAATGATTCAATCATTTTTTTACAAAATAATTATACATTTTAATTTTCAAAAAAAGATTTCATTTACACCTAACAACTTGGAATTAATTAATTAGTTAAAAATTAATATTCATATATACCGTAGTGTAGTAACAATTTTTTTTTTTGAATATTACCACTTCTTAAGATGATCATCATAATTACCGTAATCATTTACTCGTCACATTTTCTTCACTTATTAGTTTTCTCTTCTACAATTATTAATTTACAATAAAAATTTGTCAATTAATAAAGAAACTCATTAAATTTGAAATTATTATCAAAATTTAGGAATAAAAGCTATGCAAATATTTGATAGTATATATTAATTAATTACTAAAATTTACTGAATTCAGGTGCTATCCTATTAAATACCATATAACTTTCTAACAACTTTTTTTCTTACCTTACCATTATCGTCATCCTTTTTCTTTATTCGTTTGAAATCTTTATTTCGCCTTCATGTAGACTTCTATTTGCTGGTAATAATTTAAAATTAGTTCTTTCTTTCTCACAAATAAGTAATTAAAAGGAAAAGATATTGCTTAATTGAATAATTAAATTGCATTTTGTTAATTGAAATATTAAAATAAAAAGAAAGAAGAAATGGATGAAATTGATGTTTAATTTTATAAAAATGTTAATGTAATCATTGAAGAGAAATAATTCAATTTATCGCATATCATCTTCTCTTCTAAAATGAAGTTTTTGTTTGATTTGAATTTAATGATTTTTCAACATTACAAATTTTTCATTTTCATATATTTAAAAGAAAAAAAATTTTTTTGATAAAGATATAAGATAATGGTATAAATTTAAATGATGATATAAGTAAATGATATAAATTAAAAAAAAATAATTTGATAATGATAAAAAAAAGTTTGATAATGAAAATTTTTAAGAGATAATTTAAACATCTTGGTAGTAAATGAGAAAAATATCATATATTTTCAAATTATTCCATTCATAATTTCCATTTTTCCATTTTTTTCTTTATCATTTAACACAAATTTTTCCCAATCACTGATAATTTCTTTTTTAAATTATCTTTTAACTAACTTTTTTTTTTAAATTCTACGATTTCTAAATAATTTCATTCAGATAGTAAACATTTATTTGTATATTCAAGATATCTTTTAATTTTTCAATCAATTCATACATTAATCAGCAGCTAAAATTTTTCAAGTAATAACAGATTTGTTATTTTTTGAAATAATATAATCAACAATTCATTCATATCCGAACAAATGATTGTTTAGTTACTTTTCCGATGACCATTCAAATACTTTACATTGGTCACTAGTTAATCAAAATAACTAATTCATCATTATCCTTTTGCTACCGGATGTCTACATTCACAACAACATAATCTTAATTAATCTAACAGATGATTGAATCAATACCACTCAGTTTTATGGTATCGGTAAATTTTTAAGATAGCGTTAGTTATTGAATGACTGAAATTTTGCATTTATATTAAAGTTAATTAGAAGTGTGTTAATTAAGCGATCTACCCGATTAGTCCATTTATTTGAATGTTATTCAAATCTTATTTATATTACAGTAATCGTAATCTTCTCTGTGAAAACTTACACTTATGAATAGTTTATTAATTTATTTGTTTCAAACTTCAAATCTTTTCTTATATCAATAAGACAATATATATATTTCAATTAGAACTTGGTTTGAAATATTTCATTTAACTCATAAAATAATTACAATGCAATTATTTTCTCTCATACAAAACTTCTAAAATACTGAATAATAACTGCAATATAATTAGAATTTATTAAATTAATATTAGGGCAAGCAATAAATTTAAATTGTCGGCTTAAACTTTCGATCAGATTTATTAAAATAATTTAATTCACTATTAATATAAAATTATACGACATAATCCTTATCCATTATTATGAAAGTATGACTGGTAATAATATCGGAAATATTTCAAAAAATCCGGAAACGAGGGAAACTTATGTCTAATTTTATATGAATAACCTAATCATTATCAAGTATTTTACCGGAAATATTTGTCAATTTAGATTAAAAATTATTATACTAAGTTAATCGTTCAATACATTTGGTAGTGTAACTTTTTGCAAAATTATCTTGGAAGGAGAAAATAATCAATGATAACAAGATAACAAAACACTATGACAACAAGCATGATAACAAGATAAGCATTAAGCGTTTATGATAACAAGCAATGGGAATACTTCTTAGGTCTAATCAAATTTTTGGACAAGCTTATTGAAGGCTAATATGCACATATCAATCCATATAAAATAACTGAAATTAAATAACAATATTTGATATGAAATGTGACGTAAACAAACAAATCTTCAATTAATAATATATCATATCACAATTTAATAATACTAAATCAGAAATATCACAATTTAATAATACTAAATCAGAAATATCACAATTTAATAATAATAAATCAGAATAT